CTGTTCGGTCGCCGGAGTGTGGGGGACGATCTTTCTCAGCAGGAGCCCCAAAAAAGCACACGGCACCAGCCCGGGAAACGTGCGGCTAAGCCCGCATTGTCTCGTGGGGTCGCACGCGCGCCGCGGCCCGCACACATACCACTGATCCCCCCCCTCCCCCCCCAACACCCCTCCTCATCCAGGCCCCCGCGCCTAGCACGGGAATGGCGGCCGTGCCGAGCCGATCGCCCCCGGCCGCCCGCCCAATTGCTCCCTACCCAAGGCGGAGACCGGCCGGCCCGGACCCCCAAAGACACGCCGGAAACATGCCCCCCGCCCCCATCCAGTCCGAACGAGGAGCCTGCCCGACCGCAATGGCGGCCGCGACCTGCACGCCGGCCAGCGCGACCGAGGCACCTCCCAACGGCAACGCCAGCCGGAACTTTCATGTGAAAGGCCGCGCGTGCGCCCTCCCGCTCGCGGGCGCACCCGAGGCAGCCGTCCGGGCCCCGGGCCCCGGGCCCTGGGAGGAAAGGGCGAGGAGCTGAGCAACCGCCGTGTGCGCGAGGGCTTGCCCCAACGCAGTCGCGCAGCCGATCAAAAAAGCACGGGGGCCACCGCCAGCGGCAGCGGTAGCGGCAGGGGGCGGTGGCCGTGCGGGATTGCCCGGCCCTGCTACAGCCCATCCCCCCCCCCCCCCCCCTCCCCCGCTGCAGCCGCCCCGCCTTCGTTTCCCGCCCGAGGCCCCCTCGCCCACGCCTCGGGAAAAAAAGCGCGTGTCAGACGCCCCTGGCCCGCAGACACACACCTGTCGCTCGGGGTGGGCGACCCAGCGCGCCAAGCGCCCCGGCTTGGTTATTCAAAATCCCGCCCTCGGCCCCGGTCCCCCCTGGAGGGAGGGGGGGGGGGGGGATATGGACGCGGGGCGAGCCGCTTCCGGCACAGAGAGCGCCCGTACCGCACGTACGCCCACGCCCGCACGCACAGGGACCAAGAGAGGCCCAATATTTAACCACCGACACCAGCCGCAAGGGACCTGGCCTGGCCCTCGACACGGACATACGCGCGCATGAACACACAGGACCTGCGGGCGAAGCACCGAAGGCCAGGCCGCCGGCGGGCCAGAAGACGAAGACGCCCCGACAAGCGCACTGGGCCCTGCCTCAACGGACCCGACGGGCGAGAGGGGACACGCTGGGGACACGCTGGGGACACGCACCACCCGACATGTCTTTGCACTGGCGCAGCTGGGGAGGAACCTCCGCACTGCCTCCCATAGCGCAAGTCGGACGAGCTAGTCTGGCTGCGGGTTCCCTCGTTGTCTCGCCGCCGCACGAGGGGGGGGGGGGGGGAGCCCGAGACGCAGGGGCGAGGCAGGCCGTGGCCTTGCGGGGGCGGGCACCGCCCGAGAAGGGCCACAGCGAAAGGCTGCCGCCGGGGATGCGGGGGGGGGGGGGGGGGGGTTGCCCCGGTGGCGGGTGTTTTAGTGCAGGCGCAACCTGCGCGCCCTGATTCCGATGGTGCAGATCCACCGTGGCTGCTTAATTCGTGCGTGATCTCGAGACTCACGCGCTGGGGCGGGGCCACGGGTTGATGCTGGACCGGACGTACAGTCCAGTTAAGCGCGCTCAACCCGACCATCTCAATGTCGGATTAATCCGGCGCAGGTTGGGCGCCGATCGCCGACCCGAAGGGGACGAGGCGGCAGTGGCTTTCTTATTCTCTGTTATTCCTCCTCGCCCACAAGTGCCACTGGGGGGGGGGGGGGGGGGGGGATGAATATCTTGTCTGTCCCACGCACGTTCACGCCCTGGCCGCCGTGTGCTTCTGGCTCGTTTGTTGTTCGTTT